ATTAACACCGTTTCAACTTTACAACATCAGTTTTGACTTTACAATGCTTGATCCGATGCAATGCCACGCCAGCAAACAAATTCGCTGCGTCACTCATCTCCCTGGAGAACATCTGTCCAAACTTCCTTGGACACTTTCTTTAAGAAAGCAGGCAAGACTCCACAAAAACCTGCAGCCAAGACTCCTGAGAAGACTCCAGCCAAGAACCCTTCAAAAAGTCCAGCAAAGTCACCTCAAGGAAGTCCTTTCAAATCAATATGATTGCTATTTATAATATAAATACATTAATGTAGCTATATTACTCATCTATAATTGATCAAGTACAAAATTCTGGTGTATTTTTGGTGAAAATAGGGTATCAGGCCTTGGTTCAGGAACCAATCCCCCATTTATAACATTGTTTCTTATGAGAAAATTAGTCCCAAGTTGCAATGTTTTGAATTAAGACACAGTTTTCAGGAACCAAGTGTGTCGTAAGTCCGAGGACTGTGCCTGTACCATGGTCCAGCATGCTGTAATTAGAGCATGTTGGAGCAGCTGTCATGCTCACGTTTAGGCACCCTGGTATTTCTAATATAGGACAGTAGTTTTAAACCTGTGGTCCACAAACCCCTGGGGATCCACAGACTATGTCTAAAGGAAAGATGTGAAAGATGACTATGATCAATCAGAAGTATATGAATGCCAACACTTACAATTCAAAGAGGTCTGCATCCCCATTTGAAATGTTTTTAGTGGTCCACAAATGAAAAAAGGTTGAAAACATCTGTTATACAATATTTACTTACCTTTTTAAATATCTGGATCCTTCTGTGAGTGCAGTCAAGGTTCACATTGCTGCATTCCTGTTCATCTTCTTCCTACAGAGGGACACACATTTTTCCTCAACAGACTGTTGTAAGACGTGTGAAGTGTCTTGTTGCCAAAGTGTTGCTGCTAGTCAAAGAATCATTTTCTCTGTAGGACTTTAGTTTGGTCTTAGCTGCCTAAATTAAGCCTTTTCTGAGACCATGGCAATGTTTTCGTTATTACATACGCCCAGGAAAATGCTACTTATATCTCAGTAGTGTAAGAGTGATGTTATACCTGTGACAGTCCAGAAAGTATGTGATGCAGTGATTTCTTACATGATGTCCTTTATTGGACCAACCATGTAGCTGGGATAAAATTAGACAAGCTTTCAAATGCAAGACATCTGAAAGTTTGTCTAACTTTATCCCGACTACATTGTTGGTTCAGGAAAAGCTATCACCCTCAGAGATCCTTGCCTCATTTATAGCTCAGTCACATTGGTGAGAAGTTAGTGAAATCCCAGCTTCAAAGGCAGGTCCTACAGTTTTTCTCTCCAGCTGAAATCTCCCTCATGAAACATCCAAAGTTTTCTTTTTTTTAAATTGTTACAAATTTTCATCTGAACTAATAGATTAATTTGCCTGTTTCATCTGCTCTTCCAAGGATGGTGCTAAGTTAGTATTTTGAAGGTTACAAGGGCACTGGTATTCTACTTGCAAAGGAGTAAGCCTTTCAAATCTATACAAATACTATTTGTAGCAGTACAGAAAGTATGAAAAGGGGAATCTGCCATGTCATAAAAACTATCCAGAAGGATATCAGAATGTGCAGACTTATAAGGTGGCTAAAATAGATCTACTTGCTACCATCACAGCTGAGTCCACAAGACTTCACGAATCATGGCATCTCTGAAGATTATTTCCACCCTGGATATATGTAAAAAAACCCCACCTGGGTCCTGTAATATATTCAGAAGGAATTGCACTATAAAGCTGTAAATGGGATGCTGTTTTTGCAAGTACTGTAGTCTAGTCTTTAGTCTCCTAGTCCTGCCCCTATTGCATTGAACCATTGCCTGAAAGTCACCATACATGAAACATGTATGTAGGCAATCTCGCCAAGGAAAAAGAAAAGTGAATTACCTATACAGTAACTTGAGTTCTGAAGCGGTGTTGTCCATATATGTATTTCATGACCCTCCCTTCCTTCCCCTCTGCTTCAGAGTCCGATATCCATCAGATTCCATGGTAGAGAATAAATTAAATTGGGATAGCCCTCTACTGTTGCTTCTTTTGAAGCAGAGCACAAGAACAATAAGGTTACTTATGCAGCTACAGTGGATATTGTGGAACAAAAGATTTGGATATCAAATGCAGAAAATATATACACGCCACAAGTGATTATGTATATGAACAATACTTCTCAAAGAACTCCCGTTAGTGTTCAGGTTATTGTTCATTTAAGTAAATTACCTCTTTTTAAATTTTTGTTGCTTTTTGGTGCAAACACTTTTTTTTTGATTTGTATGCTTTTATGAGAGTACATACATGTCTGTAACTAATGCTGGTTAGTAAGATTGGCACTATGAAGTGGTTTTCCAGCTTAATTTTAAGAGTAGTGTCTGAAGAGTGTATTCTTATAAATTAGTCATGCATTATGTCCATTTGCAAAATCTGTCAGAGTGCATCAAAATACAAAATGATGCATTGTATTCTGTATTTTTCATTTTGTTCCAGCTACCTGTGATGTTGCTATCAACAACAAAATGTGATACATTTTGCCTAGCTACTTTTGCCATTCAGTCTACTACTTCAGTGGGTTAGCCCAATTTTATGGTATACCAGCAACTAAAATATCGGGATATGTTCTTCTTTCCCATATTTGGTAGCACCCTGCATCCTAATCCCTTCATCCAGAAGAATGTATTGCTCTTGCTTCTTGCTCATGTTGTGACATTGTGACGACTATATATAAGTTGCTCCATTATGCAACTTAAATTTCATGTGTGGCTAGGAGAAATTCTTCTTGAGGTGCCCAGAATCAAAATGAAACTAAAATTCTCCCCCCAACCCCTGCCTCAAATATCAATATCATTACAAAGTATTGAAATGATTCAGTAAGAAAAAGATAATTGTACTCAGAAAGTGTTTTTCCCCCAGACGTTACAATCTAGCCCAAGAAAGTAAAATATTTTATAAGGTTAGAAAGCAAAAAGAAAGAAAACAATCTAGAGTGGGATCCAGTGCAGGACTTACCCTGCAGTTTTCCCAGCCTGTCCTTTCTAGAGTCATGCGCCTATCTCAAAATAACAAATGCTCTTCTGTGATCTGCAATTTGCTGTCTTTCTTCCACCCTGCTTTTCTTTCTGAAAGGGTGGCCTTGGTGAACATATTACATGTTGTAACTGCTTTACTTGGCAATCAGCTCTACAACTGTTTTGTCAACAGTATTGTTTGTGTGGTGCATAATCTTGAGTTGATAAAAGCTTATGTGCTCACTGTTCAACTCAGGCCATTAATAAGTGCAGAGTATCTCAACCTTTCCTCTTTGAAGGACAACATCTAAATCAATGTTTGACACTTTATAGCTATTATTGACTTAGAAAATAGGACTAGTGTTTTTGTTCCTTTTACCTTTCTCATTACCCGGTCTTTGTGATACCTAGGTAAAAACACTCTATAAAAAATAATCATTTTTATGTTTTTCTGTTTCCTACAAAAGACTTTATAGAGTTGGCTGATATGCAAAGGATCTTTCTCACATTTATTTCAAGCAGTAATTTCTAACTAGACACATCAATGAGGATTTTCACGTGCAAGAATTATTGCACTGTTCCAACCCGTTCTGATTTCATCAGTTGGACCGACTTACTCTTCTTACTGTCCTCCACACAGTACAGCCTAACCACAGAGAAGATTCCAATGAGTTACATTAGATTAATGGAGAATGCAAAACCCAAGCATTTTCACAGTCAAGACTTATATTCATTATTCTTACGTGCTGTGAAGTGTTTTAATAGGAACAGTTGGAAGATTTCAACATCAGGAACTAAAAGAGCAACAAACATATATAAATATTGCCAGCACTCCTTCCCTCGTTTCACCTATTTATCCGATAAAAAGTGAAAAATGAGAAACAAGGTGTTTATAGAAAGGAGAAAGACTACCCCTTTTATTAAGACCTATGCTTTGTCATTGCTTTAGGATCATGTTTCACACTGGCAACTCGTGCTGCAAGACAAGAAATGCATAAATATGCCCCCAGCCTGCTTGGTTTACTTGAAACTTAAAAAAAAAAAAATCAGAGCCTGCCACATGCAAAGAAATATACCCACTAACAGGAAGTGGCTTCTTTTTCAATCCTGTCACTACTACAGATCCAGGGGGGCATGTATTTACTAGTCAGAAATATCTCAGATGAACAGGCTCCCCCATAACATTACATTTAATTCTTTTTTGTAATTTTGACAAAGTAGTTAATAGATTTTTGTTTCCTTGTGACCTTATAGTTCCCTTCAGTGGCCATTGAATATACATAGGACACCTGAGCTTACAACTGTGAAGATACGATTCTTAAGCAGCTCTCAGAGCTGTTAACAGTTTGGATGCTGGATATCCCAACTGCCAAGCTGGACTTCCCAAGCTAACTTGTTTTTCCATGCAGTAGTATTTGATGAAACACTGACTTGTCTGAAACTGTTGGGAAATCTGCCCTGTTTTTTGTTGGGTTATATATGCTTCAGACAGTGACATTTTCTTTCTGGATATAGGAAATTGCTAAACTGCAATGTTATGTTTTTCTTCTGTCACACCTGCTGGTGAGAATGTGAGTGCATGAGAGAATCCCAAAGCCTGCTACTGTCCCAACACCTCTGGCTATTATGCACTTATGGAACTGCACGCTAAAATCTTCTTTACAAGCATCCCTCTCTTACCTGTGCTTTCTGATCTGAAAGGACTGTAGTACTCCAGCTGCTGAGGGCAAGCGTATCTGTCTTGCTTTTGCTAGCTTTTTCCTCATTCTCTTGTGTGCTTCTTCCTTCTCTTCCTTCAACTCATCTTTCCTTCTCTTTGTGAAGATATTTTCATGTGGAATTGCACCTTGGGAGGGAGAGTGACTGTATAGTTGGCATAACACTTGGTTGGTTAGTGGGCTCTGATTCCATTTCCAAACTAATCCACTTCACCTAGTATCCCATCATTTTCCAGGACAACCTACGTAAGAAGGATGATCGGATTGAAGAACTGGAAGAGGCACTCAGAGAAAGTGTGCAAATAACTGCAGAACGGGAAATGGTGCTAGCACAAGAGGAGTCAGCCAGGATCAATGCTGAGAAACAGGTCTGCAATCTTATAAAGTCACTGGTATTGCTGGCAAATAACGGATGCAGCCTGACAGGAAATTTCTACTAATTATTCCTTTTCGTTTTATAATACCTTTTCATCTGAGGACCCTAAATTGCTGTTCAGACCTAAGTAATAAGTGTGTGTGAAGCTTTTAGGTTTTCTTTTGATATTTTGTTTTTCCATTCCTCACTACTTATCTGCGTGGAAAATGAGTGAGGTGTTTTATGCTTTTGAAAGAAGCTTCTGTAATATTGCTCTGAGAAGTCTATATGTTCTTGAGCATAAACATGCTCGTGGACTCCTTTGTGTTTTTCACTGTAGAAACACAGATCTTTGCCCTAAAGAACTTGCCCACAGAAGATAGTTAAATGCTATCTCAGTTATGATCCCTGGCCAGAAATTAATAGGAAATGATAAACTTTCCTTACCCATGATCCTAATTATCATAGGGCACTACCAATAAAAGTACACAGTACACTTGAAGATCTAGTAGGGGATGGTCCTGCTTTGAACAGGTGGTTGAACTAGCTGACCTCCTGAGGTCCCTTCCAACCCTAATTTTCTTGAGTCTATGACTCTACTTATCAAGCAACCCTAGAATTTGTTGTTGCATATGGGTGGCCATATACATCCTTTGAAGGGTGTCTCAGGGTGTGAGGTGATTAGTGATGTGTGAAGAGATAAGCAGATAGACAAGACAGCCATCACCCACAACCACTGCCCAACCCCTGGGTAAGGAGGTGAGCTCTGTAATACATAAATTAGTTTTAGAAACTGAGTGCCACTCATGTCATAAAAGTTATGGAGGGGTGTCTGAAGTCCATTGAGGCATGCCATGAGTCCAAAAAGGTTGAGAACTACTGCTCTATATTGTACTTTATAGACCTTACCTTTGTTCCTTATCTGAACTGAATTTTCAGGTATCATCATCCAGTCAGTGATGTTGCAGCAGCATTTTTGCCTACCCCTCAACTCTGTATGCACAAAGTTCTATCCAGCTGTTTTTAATGAATAAAAACACACTGGGAGAGGGAATGGGGCTGAGGGTAGGGGTGAAGAGTAAGTTTTTTCAAAATGTACTACTATACTACATGCTTTCCCAAGAGGTTTTTGGTCTTTCTTGAATTAATAATGACCTACATTCTCCTGAAGGAAGTAGTGTCCACTTCTTAAATATCTTTGGATTTGTTCAGTTCAAACTCAGTTACCTTATAGAATCCCTGTTCTGAGACTGCTTCCCTTTGGTGATGCTTCTCTTTGAGTATTAGGTAGTCCTCCACACTCAGGAGAGTGCCATCTCTCCAACTTCCTTCTAAGAGAAAACATACCTTGAGCAAAACAACAATTTAAAGTGCATGAAGTATATATATTCACACGTTGATTTGAAGAGACAGGAAAGTATAAAGGAATAATGATATAGCATAGGTCAGCATGGTCAGTAGTCTCTCCAACCAACTTTTTTCAGGATGGGTTTTTTATTTGCTTGTGTTTTGGCATGACAAAAAAAGAACTATTAAAAACAAAGGGCATTTATAGACGTGCTGTGGGAGGGCGCATTAATTAGAGAGGCTCCGAGAGCTGCTCTGATCAAACTGCCCTAAGTGTCATGTGCATCAGCCTCCCCATGCTGAAAAATGGTGACGGGGGTGTTTTAATTAAAGCTCATTGAACAAGCTTCAGTTAAAGCACCCCCACTGCCACTTTTCAGCACGGGGATACTAATACATGTGATGTTGGAGTCTGCTCCGATGCATTGTAATTACAATACGTTGGAGCAGCATCTTTGCATGTGTATAGGCGCCCTAAGGTCTTGAAGAAAAATTATGTGTATGGGGAAGATAATCTTCCAAGTGTGAAGAGCAACACAGGAAAAAGGAGATAGTTGAGAGGGCTTTATAAGGGAGGCAGGGGGCATAGATTGAGTTTAAGGTTTTTTTGGTTTTGGATTGGTTTGGTTTTGTTTTTTGGGGTGTTTTTTTTAAAACTTGGTGGGCTTTTGCTGATGAACATCCATGAGGCACGGTCAGACTCAGAAGCTGGACAGAAGGAGAGGGAGGTAGATTTGCAAGTCACCCACACAGAGGTGGCAGTTGAGTTCATATTTGTAGATGAGATTAACCAGAAATTAGGAACAGTGAAATGAGAGAAGGGAACCAAGGACAACTCAATGCACAGAACGTTGTAAATAGAGGGGATGAGAAGGCTCTTCTGAAGGTCAAAGAGAGACGAGAGCAGTATTTAGAGAGGCAAGTGAGGTGAAGGTTGGCAGGTGAATAAAACATATTTGGAATGGAGGAACTCAGACTGTTTATAAGAGTTGTTACCATAGAACAGGAATAGAATGAGCAGATGGTGATAGTGTGAGCTTGGGCTGGGGTTTGGCTTTGCAACTGGGGAGGTAGGCAAAAGATTCAAAGCAGAAGGAAAGTGAAGCATATAGAGAAGCTGCCACCATATCAATAAAGAGATAAATGAACTGGAAAATGCAGAAGGGCCAAGTGACTTGGTGGTAGGTGTGCTTAGCATGATATACAATGCTAAAAGAGCCCAGGTGACAATCAGAGAAGGGGAACTCAGGAACAGGGAATCAAAGCTTAATAAAGAGTGAATCAAGTAATATGTCACTTTTGGTGAGTGGAAGAGTAGATCACAGGCTACAGGTTATGCATAATATGAAGATAAGGGCTCAGGGAGGCTAGCAACATGGATGTTCAAGTCACCAAGGGTGAATGAGAGCTTGTGATGTGAAGAGTGCTAGGAGTGAAAAAATAGAGAAGGAAGACTGGTGGGTAAGTGGTGTGTGTGTTAAGTGAGACAAGACAAGACCTGTATCCAGTGTTTGCAAGAATAGGGAGGAACAGGTCAGAAGTAGTAGAAAGAGCAGAAGAGAAGTCCAAACCCCCACCACTGCTGATTTGACAGCAGCATCTCATTCCCGCAGAGAAAATATACTTGCCATCTGTGGGGATCATAAGCACTAAAATATTGCTAGCAGACAGTATAAAGGCAAAGCCAACCCTGTACCTCAGTGATCTGTTGCACTTAGTACCAAGACAACTGTCCTGTCCTATTTTGTCTGACAGTATTTTGCTACAGTATTAATTAAATACAGTTAGGCAGAGGAGGGATGGCAAAGCACCATTGTTCTGAGGTGGGTAGGGGGATTTCCTGCCAGCTGCTTTTTAATCATCTCACGTTCCTTCCTTCACTTTAAAAATGTCCTCATTGTTTCACATTCTGTGGAAGTTTATATGAGATTGTGAAAGTCTCCCACTGAAAACTGGGTGTTTTGCAAGTCTGGGGCCCACACAAAGAATCTTCACAACTATGGTAATAGAGCTTTAGGTTGGATATGTGTGATACATATGTGTGAATTTAAAATCTCATGTTGCCCAAACTGGTTATAATTTGCTTTTAACTGCATGCTTTTTCTTTCCCTCTCTTCTGTCTCTGTTGTTTTTTACCATTCTGCTACTCACTGCCTGTCTGAAGCTGTTAAATGAAACAGTGCATGAGGCCAACCATTTTGGCTTCAAATGGTTCAAGGTATGAGGAAACCTCATTTGTGTATACCCTTTCCCTTGACCTTTGCTTTAATACTGTTTTGTAACCCCAATGCTGTCTAGCCCTACCCTCAGCCATCTCTTGTGCTGTGGCCCTCTGCTGTACTTCAGTGTTTTGTACGGATTTCTTTCTAAATGTTCTACAAGTTTTAGGTTCTTTTTTTGCTGGAATTATAATCTCCATGAGCTTCTGCAGGACTCCAAAGTTCAGACTTTATACCTAGACAGTATTTCCAAATTAAAAACATTCCCCCATTGGTCCTATCTCTTGCCATTTGAAAATATGCCAGCAATGACTGCATTTAAGTGCTTGCTAACAAGATTTTGGCAAAATTTCTGTGATTGTAATACGAACACAGATTGCTTTTCTGTTTGAGTACCCCAAGGTGGAGGTCTGATCAGTTGCTCTTTTATCTATGGCCATGTGTGTAGATGACTCCCTATAAAAATGAAGTTTTTGGCGCCCTCTATTAGAATAAACCCAATTCTCCAATATTTTATATCTCAGTAACATAAGCATGACTTGTCCCTCTACTGAAAAGATGGGGGCAGTTTTACCAACCTTGGAAAAGCAGCCAATGTTCTTTGACTAAGTACACTAGATTGTCCTGATCAGAGACCTGTATTTTCACAATTGTATCCAGTGTCACCATTTCTTTATCATTTTTTTTTCCTACTGTGCAGAGAAGGAATCAGTCTCAAGTCCATCAAAGTCCAGAAGTTAAGAATTAATTCCATCCCTTAGAACAGTACTGGTAGGTTTTTCTAGTCTCCATGAAAAGGATCAGATCTCTGCTACAGAACAAAAGGAGAAAATTTGAAAAATTGGGATATTCTTTCTGGAAAGTGTAGGAATAGCTTTATTGAATTAGTCACACTTGACTAACTCATGAAAGGTATTTGGATCCACAGTTTACATCAACCTTTTCTGTCTAAGGCAGGGGGCTCAAATGGCAGATTTGGATGGCAGCCAGACTCCATTTCCCAGCAGCCTCTGCCCACATCGCAGCCAATTTCCATGGAGACCCCAGCAGCGGCAGTGCCCTGATAGCATAAGGCCAGGGTTTCCATGGAGCACTGGCAGGGTGTGTGGCAGGGCAGGAATCTTGCAGTGGTGACGGCATGGTCCAGAGCTGAGACAGAGCCATTATCTGCTGCCTGCATGCCCCTGTCTGGATCGCAGCTCTGCCCTGGCTCTGGATCACAGTGTCACCGCCACAAGATCCCAGCCCCAGAGCAGCTCCCCGCCCTGCCATGCACCCAGCCAGTGCTGCTGGGGCCAGTCTCTGGAAACCCTGGCCCCATGCAACTGCTGGGGTCTCCATGGAAACCAGCTGTGGTGATGTGGGCAAGGGCTGCTGGGAAATGGAGCCTGCCACGGGCCCAATCTGGCCCATGGACCAGACTTTGTCTGCCCCTAGTTTAAGGTAA